AGGAAGTGCCCAGGGAGCGTTCAGGGATCCCAAGATGTGTGTTTTCTTCTTGCTTGTGCAGTTCTGACCGCAATAACTGTTTGGGGTAGGCGGCAGCTCTTCAACCGAACCCCCTTGAGAGTGAGATAGATGTGAGTGGAGGGAGCACCAGAGGGAGGGAGTGATAAAGAAGAAAGAGGGGACAAAGGTAACGTGTTTTCTACCAGATTTTGGGGTTTTTACTGAGGGAATTGGTGCAATGGGAGCGGGAGGGCAGAGACAGCAGGTGACAAGGCCCCTAGTGACCAGAACAGATGAAGCAGAGAGGGATCTGTTGCTAAATTATTGATCAAAGCCTGTAGGGTCAGCAGGGAGTAAATCCATACTGAGTCTAGAAGAGCAAATAGGATGGCTGGAGCAGGAGGTGGGGCTGAACAGGGAGTGTGTGGTGTTTGGGTGATGGGGACACGCAGGTGGCAGCCGGCTTGATTTGTGCCCAAGCTCCTTCCATCTTTCTAGAGCAAACATTGCTCTTCTGGGGGACTTTGCAGTGTTAGGACGTGGTAGGGAATTCTTCAGCCAAAGCGAAGGCGTGGGGTTGTGGTGGGGGGTGATTTAGGTTCTGTTTTGATGTCAGAGATGAACTGGGAGCCCGAGGGCAGCGGTGCAGCGTGGCTCTGCTCGGAGAGGCAGCTCTGTGATTCATGGTTTAATTTGGAGCGACTGTTGAGGCAGATTCTGGCATGGCAGGGTGAGAGCTTTTCAATAGCCTTTTCATTTCATTTACTGCTCTGCTGCCAGGCTGGTCACCCATGAGACTTCATTCCCTCACGCCACGGATGGAGAGCTCGGTAGCTGTTCTCACCAAAGGGGACAGGACATCTCCTGTGTGACCTGCTGCTGAGTCCCCTGCCCTGGCGTGGATGTGGAGTCCTTTAAGTTTGCATCCAAGATCATGGTATTTCTCACTCCCAGTGCGTGCAGCTCCTGCCTGTTTGGTGCTTGTGCTCGCTGGCTGTGGTCAGAGCACGGAGCTTTGGGGGTTTCTGGCATTTGTTACTTCTCACAGCCTGAAGCAGAAGGGCTGTTGTGTTCACTTGCTTTTAAGGCTGCTGGTTCTCTGGCCCTTAAGGACCTTCCATGGCGTGAAGGTATCCTCCACACTCCTGAGCAGCAGATGCGTGTGGTTCCTCATATCCTCACCACCTCTCACCATTGTTGTGTTTTATTTGCACTACAGGAGCTCTGAGAAACCCTGTGTAGGGTCCCAAAGCCAGGAAGTAAAATATCTCTTATTTTTAGGTTTTTTAGCTGTAGACTGTATGATTTTTTTAGCAATCACAGGAGTGCTCTCTGCAGAATTATTTCTATTTTCATCTAAAAAGCAAGGAGCGAGTTAAAATAACATCCTTGTGATATTTGGAAGGAACTTCAGTCACAACCTCCTACCCCCTGTTTAATCTTCTCTGCTTTTTAATCTGTTTCATTGTATTCTCCTTGTCAGGTGGAAGATGGGACCATTTCCCTTGTGCTTTAGGTGACTCTGAAACCTGGTTACCATGAAGTCCCGAAGGAGATAGAGGGACAGTAGTGGGAATTTCTTCTCACTCCTCCAAAAAAATCCAACAGTTGCCTAATGGTAAGAAAGCTGTTCTTTTTAATTAGCCTTATATTGTACAGTGCCCATTAATCAAGGAACATGTTGAGGAGTTTGGGATCCAAACCCACTGGGCCACGTGCAGCGGGGTGTTTGAGGAGGAAACAGGCTGTAAATGCTGCGTGGTGGGAGGAGCTGCTTAGAAAATGCAACTGTCCTCTGTTTTGTGTCCTCTCCCTAGGGATTACCTCTTACACTGACGTGATGGGGAGCTGCTGCAGTTGTCTGTGCAGAGACAGCATCCCAGACAACCATCCCACCAAATTCAAGGTAAGTGTTACACCTTTATCCCCATCAGGGAGTCTGTGACAGCACCAACTATTAGAAAAGCCCAGTGTTGGTTGGACTCCAGCCGTGAAAAGAAAGAAAACCTCTGCTCTTGCTGAGAAGTCTTTTGCTTTGTAAGATTTGCACATATGTCACTGTTTTGTTTGGCTTTTTTTCCCCTTTCCTTAAGCAACCTCTGCTGCAAATATGTTTGTGTTTGCAGTAAAAATTGCCTCTGCACAGAGATTCAGCCTGAGCGAGGAAATGGGGAACTGGAGAGAAACCTTTTATTGCTCAGGGCTGTGTTCCAGTGTCTGTGCTGAGGCACATCAGGCAGGCACACAGTCTCCAGGGCTGCTGGCTTGGCACCTTCTGCCACCACTGAATTCATGCTCTCAGCTGAGAAAGGGGCGTCTCAGCAGGCACAGGGGGAATCCACAGCAATTTCAGTGTCCTCTTGGGTGGGCTTTTCCGTGACACCAATGCACTGAGTGTCCTGAGGTGAGCCCTGTGGCCTCTGCAGGTAACGAACGTGGACGATGAAGGTAACGAGCTGGGATCTGGGATTATGGAGCTGACACAGACGGAGCTCATCTTGCACACTCACAAGCGAGATGCTGTCAGGTGGCCCTACCTCTGCCTGCGCCGCTACGGCTACGACTCCAACCTCTTCTCCTTCGAGAGCGGCCGGCGCTGCCAGACGGGGCAGGGTGAGTGTCCACGTTCTCTTCCCAGGCAGCCAGAGTGAGCTGATGCTTGTGTCTTCCCAGCTTCTTCATCTAATGAATCAACAGGTTCTTCTGCAGCCTTTGTTCCCCCAGAATACCAGAGTGTGCAGGTAATACAGTTAATACTCCTGATCAAAACACTGATGAGAACAACACTGTGGCTCAGGACCTGGGTATAGATCTGATGGTCTTATTTTGCTGGTGCATTGGTGCTCGTGAAGTAATTGGTGGAGCAGGCTTGAGCATTGGATGGGGTGGATTTAATGTCAGAGAGCTGTTTGGCTTTTCTTGGTGCCAGAGGATGCACAGGAGGGCATGCTGGACTTCCTCAGCAGCTGGAAAGCACGTTTTGCAAGGCTGAAGCTTCGTTGATCATCTTTTAACTGGGGATGAAGCAAAAGGGCATCACTGCACCTTTTTGCAGGTCCCTCTTGGAGCTCTATTCCACAGAGCTGCCAAATGCATGTCAGTAGCAACAGTTGTTTGAGCACATCTTGGTTTTCTGGGGGTGCATTCTCTCTGCCTTAGTTAGTGCTGCTTCTACCTAATGCTTTGCATTTTATGTCTGACAGTACTTTGTAATGTAGAGGGAGAGGAGGTTTATGTTTCACAGATCTTATGCACGGGGCTGCTGTGCCTAGAGAAGGGAAGTGAGTCACCCAGGAGTACGTGCCAAGTCATCAGCAGCACTGGGAATAGACTCCAGTTTACAATGGGGCCTGTTAGTTCCTTTACCAGTCTGTCTCTCTTGCTTTTAAAGAGCTGAACATTTTCTTGGCATCTACATCCCCGGGGAGCAAAAAAAGTTTGTTTCCTCATTCTATTAATGTGTTTGTAAACTCCTCCTTACCCAAAAGGACTCCGTGTGACTGTTCAGTGTCAGTGTAAAGCTCTGTGCAGATTTGTAGTGCCATATGCTCCTTTTTAATCATGTATGTGGGGTTTTCCTCTCCTGGAGCCCTGTGCTTATCAGCTGCCAGTGGTGGGAACCACTTGTCTTCAGGTTCTGGTTTGCCTTTTGCAGGATGCAGACGAGTGATTAACATTCAGCCCTGTGTGTGTTCAGGGCCAGGCACTGGTGATAAAGCAGAGCCATTTGCTTTGGATTTTTAGCAGATACGTACTTACTCGTCAGTCTCACAGCAGACAGAAATGAGAGGGGTGGCGTTGTGTCGTGAGGACGTTTCTCCCTCTCTTGCAGGATTTTATTCTGCTCAGTTGATTTTACTGGGAGGACTCCTTCCTGCTGCTCCCCGCCTTGCACAAGGCAGAGAGAGAGAGATTTTTTGGGCCAGGATTTTGAAAGCCTTCCTCTCTGTGGCAGCAGCGTTGTTGCCATGCTGTTCCTGTTGCCATGGCTTGTGTGCCTGCCAGCCTGGATTGGCAGCTCTGCGCGAGCTGGCTCCGCCACGGGCTGCTCCTTTGGGGAGATGCTGTTTAATTCCATATGGATTTTAACCATTACATTGTCCCTCCCTCACGTGCATGCTCCACAAGGCCCAGTTCAGCTTTGAGTAGTCACTGGGTAGCCTTTTCCCTGGCAGTGGGAGTTGGACTGTGTGCCAGGTGGGTTAGAACAGATTGGAGCTGAAACGAGAGCGGTTAGCCTGTCCTTTCACACCTCTGCTCGTGTGGGATTGATTCTTGTAAGAGCACTTGAGATGCTCAGTATGTTCCTTGTAATGATGCACCATTTGGTCAGATGGCAGCCATAACATTGTGTTCCTGTTGATGCAATAATCCACAGTTGTTGGTTGTTTCCCTGTGGGTTGCAGGGATTGATTGTGTTAAACACAGCAAAAGAAATCGGAGTTGCCTGTTCGTTTAGGGCCAGGACTTACACACACTCGTGGTAAAGCAGGACCCTTTCTTGCTTTTCTGACCCTCCTCTTTGTTACTGGGCAGGGATTTTTGCCTTTAAGTGTTCCAGAGCCGAGGAGATCTTTAACCTGCTCCAGGACCTGATGCAGTGTAACAGTATCAACGTAGTGGAAGAGCCTGTTGTCATCACCAGGAACAGTCACCCCACGGAGCGGGAGCTCTCCCGGACCCCCCAGGCACCCAACAGTAAGGCTCCTTCAGTGTCTGGGAGAAGAGGGGGGAACACAGAGATGTGCTGCCTCACAGCTGACCCGTATGATTTAAATAAACAAGAGATGAGGCCCTTAGACGTGGGTCAGTGGTGGACTTGGCAGCCCTGGGGTGATGGTTGGACTTGATGATCTTAAAGGTCTTTTCCAACCTGTTTGATTCTGTGATTCTAAGAGGGCCCAGCCCCTGTATTAATACGAGGTGCTTTGTCATAGGGGTCTTCCCCAGAGAGGTTGATCCTGACTTACAGGGTGCAGTTAAGATACCAGCTCACTGCAAAAAGGAAGTAAACTCTTATTTTGTGCCAAACCAGAGCTATAATCCCCTTACCTGTCTTGATTCTCTCCCAGGTCTGGGGTACACCGTCCCAGGATTTCCCAATGGATTTCACAGCTACCCTGGAGAAACCCTACCATACTCTGCAGCCCACCACCCCTCTGTGAGCAGCCTGAGGCATTCCTCTGTGGGTGAAGACTCTACCCATGCCCTTATTGGGCCTGATGAGCAGGTAAACCTGGATGTCCTAGATTGTCCTGTTTGCAAGCAGTGATCAAGCAGCTTGTTGGTCATGGTTCTGTGCAATTCTGGGTTTCTTCAGCAAAGCCCCGGGCATCCTCATACCTTGTCATCCTTTTTTTAGCTCTTTTGCTTCATTTTAGTTTTGGAGACTTTTACTGTCTGACACTTCACTACAACACGCACTCTGTGGCTTCCTTAATCCACTAGTATTTGCGTGACAGAACTTTTTGTTCTATGCCATATGCATTGAGTGTGAACTAGATGATGTGCTTCTCCCTCAGCTGGACTCCCTTTAGTCTCTCCTTCAGCCCACAAACCCAGAAGTGTCTTTTTGCTTCCCCAAATCTTTCCAACTTCTGAAATTCTTTCACCTCCTCCTGCTTCATCAGCCACCAACAGATTCTCCGTTCCTGTCGGTTTCTCAGCTGCTTTGCTCTTGTCTCTTCTCTTCTCTTCTCTTCTCCCTTCACTGTATTTCTGCTTCTCTCCTTGCAGTCCCACACCTACGTCAACACGGCCAATGGTGATCAGGAGCTGAGGGGCCGACACTGTATGCACTCCTTGCCTGAAGTCCACCCTCCTTTCCCCCATAGGAACCACAGCTGCTCCCTCGAAGACCGCAATCCCCAGGTCTTTCTGCAGCCAGGGGAGGTTAAGTTCGTGTTAGGTCCCACATCCAACTGCAGACGCGCCTGTCGGCACCACCGGGAGTGCAGGACCCACTTCTGCCCCCCCAACAACAACAACAACGAGTGTGAGGAGGAGTGTCCTTCACCCCAGTGCGTCTACGAGAACGTCAATGGCCTGCTGCCCCCCAGCACCTCCTCTCTCTGCCGAGGCGGGCGCTTGAAGCTGCCCCGGGAGGACTCGGCCTTACCCGGCTGCTCCCATCGCAGGACGGCGTTGCTGC